AAAACAAATACAAGCTTCTTTGCTCAGTGCTAAAAATGTCTGAGCCTTTGGAGAACAGCTGGGCAGAAAGCAATCTTGTTCGATTTCGGCGCATTTTTCCCCAAGTATTAGGCTGTCCGAATGTAGCCCACATCAAAGCATCCCAGGCACCCAGTGCTGGGACAGACCTGTCATGAAAACACAGCCGATCAAACTCGAGCAAGCGAAACGCACAATAAAACCACTTTAAACCTGTCCAACTCTCTGTCTAAAGGAGCAAGGACTTTGAAGCATAAAAAAAAAGCTACTTTAAACAGATAATTCCTTTGAGGTACTTTTTTTATAAATATAAAAAAAATAATGTTGCTGTGCTTGCAAAATGCTGTATATTGATAAGCCTCTGGGAGCATTAGAAATGATGTATGATCTCTTGGCTACCAATACCAATGTTGCCTAAGGGACAGCTTCTCCTGAGAATTTGCAGAATTGTTCTCCACGCTATCAAGTCAGCTCTCATTAAAGCATGTCTTATTTGTGGTTTGTGATTTGTATTAATTTGGAGTATGTCATTTAGCATGTTTGGGGATTCAGGCAACTAAAAATTTAAAATGAATTCAACTGGCTTAAACGATAAGAACACTTCTTTTATCAAATAACAAGAATCTCAGAAGTCAAGTAGTCCAAGGTGGGTTAACCCAGTGACTCAATGATGTCATCAAGGACCCCAAGTTCTTTCCATCTTTCGGTTCTTCCATTCTCATGCTAGGTCCCCTCATGGGCATAAGATGGCTGCCACAGTTCCATGCATCACAGCTACATCTAAAAGTATCTAAAGAAGGAGTGTTCCTATAAGTTTTTCATCACTGAGAATAAAAAAAAAAATCTTTGCGAAAGGCCTATCAGCAGACTGTGTATCGGATTTCAGTGGCTAGAATTGTATCCCTTGCCTATGTCTAATCCAATCAGTAGATATCCACTAGGATCACAATCTATTAGACTGTGATCACAATCTTTTAGATCAATCTAATAGATTACAATCTATGAACCTATTAGGCTAATTGACATCTAAACACAGGGATGGTTTAGATAAAAGATAGATTCCCATCTTTCCGTGACTGGTAAGATGGTGGAGCAGAAACCCAAATAATGCGCAGTCCTGTCAACTCAGAAAAAAAAAGAATAGGCTGTTAGGTAGGCAAGCATCTGTGTCTGCTACAGTTGAGATGCAGGGTAAAATAAGTTTGGTCTAATTGAATTTTTTGGCTTAACTATGGTATGTATGAAAAAAATCTTTTTATTTACTTTTTTAAGAGGCAGAATGTTGTTCTGCTGCCCAGATTGGGGTTTAATGGGGCAATAATAGCTCACTGCAACTTCTAACTCCTGGGCTCAAGAGATCCTCCTGCCTCAGCCTCCTGAGTAGCTGGGACTTCAGGCGTATACCACCATGTCTGACTAATTTGTTTTTATTTTTATTTTTGTAGAGACAGGATCTCATTATGTTGCCCGGGCTGGTCTTAAACTCCTGGGCTCAAGCGATCCTCACGCCTCAGCCTCCCAAAGTGTCGTAATTACAGGTAGGAGCCACCATGCTGAGTTAAAACCTTTTGGATTTTGTGACTCCAGCTGCTGAAAATTATCCTAAAATATATTAGTTCATTTTCCCCCCTGCTATTTAAACTGGAGTGATACCTTTGGCATGTCATATCTAATGACACTTGCCTTTCCCCACCCTTTGAATCTCCCCCTTTATTTCCATCCTCAGGATCTTAGGAGTAAGTCTCCTCAGCTGTGTTTGTACAATGCTGTCTTTCTAGCTATAGATGATTGCAGCTGAGGTGTACAGCAGACCTTAGCTGAACCAGTCAGCTTCTTTCTCTGAGAATTTCAAATGGGGGCAGCTCTGGTTGCATCAGTCTCTTCATGTGCTTGGGTCTACAACATAACCTCTAGAATTGTGGGGCAGCAGTTTTTCTGTCATTTGGAACATTAAGCAAAAGCCAGTGTAAAAGAAAGTAAAAATGAAAAAGATACACAGTAAGAAGTTTCTTAAGTTTTGGCTCCATAAGACACTTTGAAATACCCCTTCACCACACACAGGCACGTGGGCTTGTGTATGTGCACACACACACCCCTCCAAATCCATATGCAAGCCAGCTTGAGGCAGCTTATGTTACTTGCAACCAAAGAGCCCTAACCAAAAAGGAACACAATGTCCCTTTGCAGAGATGATTGAGGACCTTGCAGAATGCTAGGGTCATCCTGAAGAACTGCCAGTTCTCATTTCCTTTGTGCATAGAAAACTGAAGACAATGAGTCATACCTGTCATAAATTCACTCCAGACTTTGCTACAGAGGTTGCCTTTGTTTGATTTAAATCTTTACTATTGGTTTGGTTTCTAATATTTGTTACTTTTTTCAAAAAGTATTCAACAAATCACTCAACGGTAGCAACAATAAATGACTGTGTATTATGTGACTGGGAGGTGTTGTGTTGTATTGTATCTTAGAGGGGTAGGGAACGGGACTAACATCTATTGAGTTCCAACAATTTGCTTTGCATGTATTGTTTACTTTAATTCTTACCACACACTACCTACTAGTTGTTACAAAACCAGGCTATGTGCAGTGGCTCACGCCTGAATCCCAGCACTTTGGGAAGCTGAGGCGGGTGGATCACTCAAGATCAAGAGTTCAAGACCAGCCTGGCCAACATGGTGAAACCTGATCTCTACAAAAAATGAAAAATTAGCTGGGCATGGTGGTGGGGACCTTATAGTCTCAGCTACTTGGGAGGCTGAGGAAGGAGGATCGCTTGAACCTGGGAGGTGGAGTTTGCAGTGAGCTGAGATCTTGGCCACTGCACTCCAGCCTGGGGAACAGAGTGAGACCCTGTCTCAAAAAATGTGTGTCTGCATGTTCTCACTCATAGGCGGGTGTTGAACAATAAGAATATGTGGATACAGGGAGGGGAGCATCACACACTGGGGGAGCTAGGGGAGGGACAGCAGGGGGTAGGGAGGGTGAAGAGGGTTAACGTGAGGAGAAATATCAGGTATAGGTGATGGGGGATGGAGGCAGCAAACCACTTTGCCATGTATGTACCTGCGCAACAATCCTGCATGATCTGCACATATACCCCAGAACCTAAAGTACAATTTTTAAAAAATGTGTGTGTCTGTGTGTGTGTATAACAAAACCCTTTTACCAGTGAGAAAGCCGAGTCTCAGAGCAGCACATTGATTTTGTTAAGGTCACACAGCTAGAAAGCCACAGAAGATTTTAAACCCAGGTCTCAGAAGAATCAAAGTTAATGATGTTTTCACTATTTCACATTGTTAAACAGAAGAAAAACAGTGCTTTAACCATCCTGGTAGGTAGACTCTGGTTGAATGACATCTGACTCTGGTTTATTCTCACAATATAGGATATTCTCTATCATCAGGGAAGGACAGATAGGGAGAATGATCTTCTAGCACCAGATCTATTAAGGGTATTTCTGCATTTTTTAAATTTCTAAATTAAGCATTGCTATCTCTAGTAAAAAAGAGGATAACATTTTTTGACACTTTATAAAGGTGGAAGAAACAAAAGCCAGGGAAGATTAAATGAGGGGCACAAGATACTCAGACACAGAAACACTTTGTAGCCATCCCTTCTCACTGTCTCAGTAGGTGTACATTCTCAAGCTGTTGATTTTTCTTGACTAATTAAAGATGGCTGAAGTTTTAGAGTTTGGTTTTATTTTTGTTTTTCTCCATCTTTCACATCTTCCAACTCACACACTGGCTGCTGCTGCCAATTAGCAAGAATGTCAGAGAAGAGTTAGTCCTGGCTGTAACCAGGCTAGATACAAACCTGTCACAATGAGATTAGGGGGATTCAAGCAAAAGCATTTACCTTAATGTGTTTCGTTCCTAGCAAAACAATCATGCAAATGTTTTAAGTCAAACTTTCCAAAACAGACACAGCCATGCGGAGCTGCCCATCTGAAACAGGTTGCAAGGGAGAACCACCATTTTTATCTTCTCCTACTGCTGTTCTGTAGGCCAGTTAACTCTTCTCTACCCATTGAATGTTTTCTATGTTTTCACATTAAAAACAAAAACAGCCAGCCAGTTGAATTGTTATAGTACAAAGAAATGTTACCCGTTTGTTTGTAATACATTCCAACATTACGGGAATGAAATGCAGAAAGGGAAATTTGGATCGGAGTGTTTCAAGCTGTCAGTAGCCCTTCCTGTAAACCTTGCCAATCTCAAGAATATCTTAAAGAATGCAGACTACAGGAAAACTCCAATTAGCCAAAATGCCCAGGGAATGGGAGATTCCAGGTTATCTCAGAATTAAGCAGAAAATCCTTTTCACTTCAACACTTGCCATTGAAGATCTCTGAAAAGCATGACTTGAGTTTCCTGCCTTAAAAAGCAGTTTGCTCTTTAATGCTTGTCTGATAGTTGAGGGTCAGGATAAGTATTCTGGACCCCAATTCCCATCATCCAGAAAAAGCAAAAAAAAAGGAAACAGGAGATTGGGTAGAATTCACACTCAACCCTAGGACAGGTTTTTTGAAATTCTTGAAGTGAGCCTTTTCCTTCTGGTATTTTGTTCCTTTCTACTTCTCTAAAGAGAGAGGAAAAGAGTCTGCTAAACCAGGAGTTTTGCCTGTATAAATTCCAATGAAATCAAGATGTTATGACATCTGAATGTTTTGTCTTTATGAAAGAGATGAGTAAGGTGTTGGCCATCAGGAGTTGGGAGCCATCCTCTTCCACCTGGTCTTGGATCTAGTACAGGGAGGCTTGAAAAAGTGAGTTCCCCTAGCCACATCCTACCCTCACTACCCCAACCAGAGAGCAGAATGGCAGGGTTCGTACAGTCAGTTATTTCTTCCCAGATCATTTGTCACTGTCTAGACCAAGGTTCCTCATCCTTGGCACTACTGACTAGGTTCTCTAGAGGGACAGAACTAATAGGAAGATGTATATACAAAGGGAGTTTATTAAGGAGTATTGACTCACGTGATCACAAGATGAGGTCTCACAATAGGCCATCTGCAAGCTGAGGAGCAAGGAAGCCAGTCTGACTTCCAAAACCTCAAAAGTAGGGAAGCTGACCGTGCAGGCTTCAGCTGGTGGTCAAAGGTCCAATAATCCCGAAGCTGGGAGTCTGATGTTCGAGGGAAGGAAGTATCCAGCACATGAAAAAGATGTAGGCTGGGAGACTCAGCTGGTCTAGTCTTTTCACATTCTTCTGCCTGTTTTTATCCTGGCCATGATGGCGCTGATTAGATGGTGCCACCCAGATTGAGGGTGAGTCTGCCTTTCCCAGTCCACCAACTCGAATGTTAACCTCCTTTGTCAACACCCTCACAGACACACCCAGGAACAATACTTTGCATCCTTCAATCCAGTGTCATGGTGACACTGGATGTTAACCATCACAGAGGCTGTTGTGCACACAGTAGAATGTTCCTGCTAGATGCCAGAAGCACTCCCCTCACCTCCTCAGTTGTGACAAACAACAATGTCTCCAGACGTTGCCAAAGGTTCCTGGAAAGGCAAAATTGCCCCCGTTCAGAATTACTGGTCTAAATGGAGGCATAATTATTCCTTTTCCCCCTCATCAAGATTATGAGTTTTCTTGACCTTGGCAAGTAATTTCATACCATATTTCCTATGCAATTTCATGGAAGAAAATAATTCTGATGAAAGTGGTATTTTGACTGGAATTGTATGAGGCAGACCTTATTAAAATACAACTGCAGGTTCTGCGTTGTTTACTGTTCTAAATTTCCTGAGGTCACCGTCATTATGGACATCGAGTCAAGCCTTAGCCGCAGCCTCTTATGTTGTACTGTCACCTTCAATTTCATGTCTGCATCTATCTCAGAAATACTTTCACTACTGTTGCTGCTTCCCAAGGCTTAATAGGTTTTTCACCCACTGGGTTCTTTTAAACCCATTATTCTTTCTCTCCCATGGATTAAGTTTAAATTCTATGTTCTTAAAGAATATTTTGTATATTTTAAAAATTGCTAAATTAGTTGAATTCAGGCAGTTAGTTCTAGATCCCTGATTTTAAGGGTACAGTAGTATTTCAGCTCTAGAAAGAGCAGAAGTTAAACTGTTGTGGAGAGCAGATTAGGAGAGTTACCTACATACATTGATTATCAAATTTCAAACAATTAAATTAATATCTCATATATATTTATATTATATCATGTATATATATGCACACAATTTTCCAGGTTCATCAGATTTTTTTGTGTATATTATTTTTATTTAGACGGTAAAGGACAGAACACAAAACAATAGGTGTTCTCTGACTATATAAAAAATTTTCATGTCCTTAAAGCCTAAAATATAACAGTTAAAACAGCTGTATAGATTATAGCTGATCCTTTTCTCTATTTAAAATTTTTCATAAATTCTTGTTTGCATACATTTAAAATGGCCTTGTTTTTCTGACATGAAAGTAACACCCTCACATGAAGTTCACTGGAAATACAAAAAGTGAAATGATGAAAAGGTACTTGTGATATTATCACCCAGAGATTGTCACTATCAACATTTAGAAAATGTTTCCTTGGCCAGGCGCTGTGGCTCACTCCTGTAATTCCAGCACTTTGGGAGGCCGAGGCCGGCAGATCACCTGAAGTTGGGAGTTCGAGACCAGCCTGACCAACATGGAGAAACCCTGTCTCTACTAAAAATACAAAATTAGCCAGGTGTGGTGGAGCATGCCTATAATCCCAGTGACTCAAGTGGCTGAGGCAGGAGAATCGCTTGTACCCAGGGGGCAGAGGTTGCGGTGAGCTGAGATTGCGCCACTGCACTGCAGCCTGAGCAACAAGAACAAAACTCTGTCTCATAAAAAAGAAAAAAAGGAAAATGTTTCCTTTCAGTCTTTCTTTCCTTTTACAAAACTTAGACCACCCTAGAGTTCTTTATTCTGAGTTTTAAAATCATAGTAAGCACAGTTATAAATATAACTAGTGTATTTCAACTGCCCAACATTGTAGGACTTTAGGTGATTTCCAGTTCTTCACCATTATATGTTTAGTGCTGCAATGAAAGTCTCTATACATAAATCTTTGCACACATGCCTGAGCAGCAGCTAAAACTTGAAAAGACAAATACAGGGTCAAAAGGTATGAATTTCTAAGACTCGATATATATTGCCGAATTACGTCGGGAAAGCTATGCCTATTTTCGGTCTTTATTGGCAATTTTCTTGAAGGGTTTCCATCTTGTTCTGTCAACCGCCAGGCCTATGAAGACATTTCCCATGGGACTTTCTTCAGATACGTCAATGTCAATGTAGTAAGATCCATCTTAAGATATCTGTCAACAGCCTCCCTGGACCCATATCAAACCATCTGTCAATGGCAACTCTAATATATTTTGGGAAGATGCTGATGCAGTTGCCAAAAAAACTTTGCAATGAAATCAAATTATCCAATCACAAGTTGCAAAATTAAACTGTGTTAATGATATGTGACAATTTTGTCACAATATCCAGAGACTCCATATTATAAATATGTCCTTGTAAATTTAAGGGCAGGCTGCAGGAGGGGGAATGGGAATTACCTTTCATGTGGATTCTGCAGAACTCACACAATCCTAACCATGTCGCAAAACTTGGCAGCAAGGATTGACTGCCAACCCCTAGCTCCAATCAAGACTAGGCAGAAAAACACCACTTAGATACAGGACTGTATGACTTAGCAAGGTGGATTAGTGTCATCTGACTATAACACATACAACCGTTACCTTGCCACCAAATGATCTCCAACTAAGTATGGTGCTCCCAGGAAATTGAAAGGATCAACCTTTTTACACTATATGAAAATGTTCTGTAAATTAGAAAGCATGTATACATGTATTTATAAGTACTTTTCTTGCTTTTTTTTTGAGATAGGGTCTCCCTCTGTCGCACAGGCTGCAGTGCAGTGGCACCGTCTTGGGTCACTGAAGCCTCCACCTTCAGGGATCTAGTGATTCTCACACTTCAGCCTCTTGAGTAGCTGAGACTACAGGCACAAGCCACCACGCCCGGCTAATATTTGTATTTATACTAGACATGGGGTTTCACCATGTTGGCCAGGCTGGTCTCAAATTCCTGACCTCCAGTGATCACCTGTCTCAGCCTCCAGAGTGCTGGGATTACAGGCATGAGCCACGACACCCAGCCCATAAGCGCTTTTCATTACTGCTTATTACTGTTGTCATTGTTGTATTATTGTTCCGAGCTGACTCTGAAATCCAGAATCTAAAATATCTGAGAACTAATTTTTTTTTTTTTTTTTTTGACGCACAAAATTGGTGTAATCGTCTGGTCTTATTCCCTTACCAGATCCTCCCTGGCCATTTGACCCTCATAAAGAATCATGGAGCTGGAATTAGCCTGTAACTAACTAACTTCCTTCCTCCCTTTCTTCCCTTTCTTACCAGAGTCTCGCTCTGTTGCCCAGGCTGGAGTGTGCAGTGGTGGTATCTCTGCACACTCACTGCAACCTCCACCTAGCCCAGGCTCAAGAGATTCTCCTGCCTCCGCCTCCTTAGTAGCTGGGACTACAGGCACATGCTGCCATATCCGGCTAATATTTTATATTTTTAGTAGAGATGGGGTTTCACCATGTTGCCCAGGTTGGTGTTAAACTCCTCAGCTCAGAGTAGTCCACCTGCCTCGGCCTCCCAAAGTTCTGGGATTACAGGTGCGAGCTATTGCGCCTGGCCCCAGCCTTTACCTTTCAAGGGGCTGGTGTATAGACTAACTGTTCAAGTGGCCAGAGTGGTCTCTACCCTCAAATGGATGAAGTGTTCATGGGTTCTCATGGCTCTGAACCACTGGCTAATTGAGTCACTTTCTGAACTGTCACAGACAGTATAAACTCACCAGGCATTCAGGTTGTTCCTTAGCTCTCTGGGCCATATTATCTCCTTGGCATCTAGTCTTAAAGACAACACACCCCCAAAGTCAGAGCAGACAGAAACCACAAACAACACATAACAGACAGAAGTCAGGGGCCTACCGCTTTGCCAACGAGGCAGACTGGAAAGGCAGGCCTGACCCAAATCGCTTCTCACTATAAATAGCTTTATTAAGAATGGGTTGTACTTAGCCACCCCTCAGATGAGATCAAAGCGTCGTGAATGCATCTCCTACATGTGGTCTGTTGGGTATAAGAATCACCCAAATTCTTTATGTCCGTACACTGCAGCCAAAATTCCCCCAAATGGCATTCTCCTGGAACGGAGACCAGAATCTGGCTTATTCACCTGCATGTGTTCTATAAATGTATTCCCACCCTGAGTGCAGGAAAAGAAAGGGGGATTAGAAACACTGACATTTTTTAAGCACTTTACCCATTTTATCATATGTAGTTGTCCTAATAATCCAGAAGCCAGGACTTTTATCTCTTTCAAAGACGAGAAAAATGAGGCTCAGAGGGGGTAACTATCTCACCCTAAGTCACATAGGAAAGAAATGGCAAAGCCAGGACATGAACATGAATCAAACTGCTCAATTCTTTTTTTTTTTTTTTTCAGACGGAGTCTCGCTTTGGCGCCAGGCTGGAGTGTAGTGGCACAATCTCAGCTCACTGCAACCTGTGCCTCCCGGGTTCAAGTGATTCTCCTGCCTCAGCCTCCCAAGTTGCTGGGAACACAGTTACCCACCACCACGTCCAGCAAAGTTTTGTATTTTTAGTAAAGATGGGGTTTCATCATGTTGGCCAGGATGGTGTCGATCTCTTGACCTCGTGATCCACCCACCTCGGCCTCCGAAAGTGCGGGGATTACAGGCATGAACCACTGTGCCCAGCCTCAAACTGCCAAATTTTAAGGTCTCTGTTATCTTCATCATCACATAGCAAGGGTCTCAAGTAGACAAATTTCTTATGGATTAACTTCTGAAATGGTCATGTCCCTACAGAGGCACAATCTTCTATCTTTGCCTCAGAGTTGCTGCTGAGCTGTTGCTAGGAAGGAAGGGGGAGGAGGTGCATCTAGGAGAGTTAGTCAGAATGAGGACCCCAGAGGTTCTATCACTTTGATGAAAAACTAACATTATAAGGCATGGCACATTGCTTATAAATTTGTGCAATTTTTATATGTTAATTTATCTGAATGAACCTCATCTATCCTACATCAACACAAGTAATTTGCGTATCTTTTTGCAGATTTTTGTTTTGTCTTGAACTCCTAGGGCCTAAGAGCCCTAATCATCTATATTATACCTAGAATTCAAATTATTTTTCCTTTTCCTTCAATCTTGATTCAGTGTGGAATTCAGAGTCAGTGCAGACAACTCAAGGGTATATGATCGTTGCAGGAACAGGCTGCCCAGCCAGGGTCACATCTCCTAGTCCTCTGAATCTGGCTGGGCCCATGTGGTCACTTCTAGTCCAAGGTATTTAAAAAACAGTTATGCTCCTTCATGTGTCCTCTTTTCTCTTCCACCTGGTTGCAAAGAACTTTGCCAACTAGACATGGTAGCTCATGCCTATAATCCCAGCACTTTGGGAGGCCAAGGTGGGAGAATTTTTGAGGCCAGGAATTTGAGACCAGCCTGGGCAACATAGTGAGAACTTCATCTTTACCAAAAAAAAAGAAAAAGACATGGTGGTGTGCACCTGTGTACCAAAAAAAAAGAAAAAGACATAGCAAGGCATGGTGGTGTGCACCTGCGGTCCCAGCTACTAGGGAAGCTGAGGCAAGAGGATCACTTGAGGTCAGGGCTACAGTGAGCCCTGATTGCACCACTGCACTCCAGCCTGGATGACAGAACAAGATCCTATCTCAAAAACAAGACAAAACTTGAATATGCCTCTGAATCAACTGGAAGGCTGTTAAAATACAGACTGCTGGGCTCTACCCCCAGAGTTTTTCTTCAGTAGTGTTGGGACCTGATAATTTGCAAGTCTTACAACTTCCCAAATGTTACAGATGTGCTGGTCTGGGCACCACACATTGGGAACCACTGCCCTAGGGCAACACCCTCGCCTAATACTGGCTATACTTTAGACACCCCTCCAGGTGTTTTAAACATGTTGATGCCAAAGCTGCAACTCAAATCAGTAAAATCAGAATATCTTGGGGATGGGGCCCATGTGTTAGCATAAAGCTCCTCAGGGCATTACAAAATTGAGTTCAAATTGAAAATCACTGGTGTAAGGTGGAGCCTTAAGATTGGAGAAACATTGGTTCTTAAATCACTGAGTGGGGGAAAACAGCCTGCCTGGAAGAAATACCCACGTTGGATTGTTATGCGAACAGGAAATAAACTTTTATTGGGGTAGGCTGCTGAAATTTTAGAGATGATTTGCTGTTGCGGCTGGCATTACCTTACAATGCCCACTATTAAGAACCAGGTTGAGGTCGGGCTCGGTGGCTCAGGCCTATAATCCCAGCACTTTGGGAGGCCGAGGCAGGTGGATCACGAGGTCAAGAGATCAAGACCATCCTGGTCAACAAGGTGAAACCCCGTCTCTACTAAAAATACAAAAATTAGCTGGGCATGGTGGTGCGCGTCTGTAGTCCCAGCTACTCGGGAGGCTGAGGCAGGAGAATTGCTTGAACCGAGCAATTGTTGCAGTAAGCCGAGATCGTGCCATTGCACTCCAGTCTGGGTAACAATAGCGAAACTCCGTCTCAAAAAAAAAAAAGAACCAGGTTGCAAACATTCTCTTGCTTCTCCTTTTAATTCTTGCCTTGTTCTGCTCTGAGAGTATTGATTTGATTAGAGTCTGCCGGTGGCCTGTATTTTCTAGAGGTGGAACTTTCAACAGAAATAAGGTGATATACAGCACACATAACATAGGTATAGCCTCTCTTTTTCTCTCTTTATTCTTGTGGCCAGAATAACAGGGTAGCTCTAGTTCATCTTTTTCCCTTCTCCCCGCTCATTCACTTTTTCTCTCCTTGGAAACACATTCCTCCTCCCACCTGGAAGCAGGTTCAATACCCTCAGTTAAGAATAGGTTTTCACTCAGTTTGAAAGGACTTGGGTAGCCACCATTCGGCAAGTATTCTGGGCAAAGGTGACAAAATGCTTTCCCTTTCTTCTCTGAGATAGCTGAAAACCAAACCACAAAATACCTGAGCCAATACGCATCAGCCAGAGGCAGAGGACATGGAACTAGAATGTTGAACAGGTAATTCCTGAGAATTTGCACTTGAACCACAACAGGCAAGAAGCATGAGATCCACTACTGCTCAAATTTGCATTACGGTTTTTCGCCAAAGCTCTCTCTAAAAATAAAGTGCTACTTACTGCTCCTGTGAAGGCACAGCTGAAAAATGGGGCTGGCCAGCCAAAGGCAGGATTCATGTGTTTCAGAGCCCCCAGGCCAAATGTGTTCATGGACCCTCCGTTAGCTAAAAAGATGGTGTAATTGAGATAACATAAGCATTTAAAAGGCATGGTGACCAAAAATGGATACGGATGACTTTTATTGAGGAATCAACCCATGTCTGCGTTCACTCTAAGGGAGACTAACATCATATGAGCAATAAACCTGACAGATTTCCCCACTGCCCATAAAAATGTCAGGATTTTCGATTGACAGGAATGGAAAAGCTAATGGCTCTAAAAGCATATATTGCAAATTCTGTCTTTTCATGATAAGGGACAACAGCCTCAGTTGAGAATAGATTTCCTGGCTGATGATGAGGAAGGAGACCCAGGCATCTGGGGTCAACTTCTCCCTCAACTTCCACAATGCATTTCAATAGAAGAAAAGACTGGCCATTTGGTGCCTCCTGAATTTACCTTCCTGTAAATAACATGATTGGTATGACACTGTTTTTACTTAAAACAAGATCAAACCCAAAAACCTTTTCACATGTGATTCCTAAAACTGTAAACCCGAAACCCTTTCATATGTAAGTTCTAAAGCTGTAAACCCAGAAACCTTTTCACAGGTAAGTCCTAAAGCTGTAAATCCAAAGCCCTTTCTCTCCTGACTTCTAAGGCTGTAAACCTAAGATTCTTTCACGTGTAATATCTAGAGTGCAAGCCTATATAAAGGCGGAACCCTCCTTTGTTGGACGAGCTGGGTAATTTGGAACCATCGCTGGGCTCCAGGCCGTAATAATAATAATAAACTCCTTCCTTCCCCATTTGGTGTTCGAGAGCTCTGTTTCCCGAGGCCCACTCCTGCTACAATGGCTGTGAAATGACCCACCCCCACCTCCCCCCCCTCCGCGTGGCTCTTGTTCTTTGAGCTTCCGCTTAACTTTCCCTAGTGGGAAATGGACAACTTTTTTGGTTGTGAGAAGCGGAAAATCCAACCTAAGATACTGCTCAAAGAAATGTTACTGAATCATGTACTCAGTGTCTGAAATCAGGACTTACTTCAGACTGATTGATTCGAGGGCTCAAGCACTGTCCTCAAGATCCAGCCTCCCGCTTGTTCTGGTCCTGACTTGATTGTGTTCTCAAACCAGTGTCCCTCAATAGATGCGGATGGCTACAGCTGCTCCAACCTCATACCTCTCAAGTCAAGCAAGGATCTAATGAGAGTCTCCTTCCCAGAATTCCCAGCAAAAGTCTCATTGTGTCTCTAATTGGCTCTAATTAAGTCACATGATTATCAATAAGCCAATCATTGGAGTCCAAGGAAATGCAATGCCTTGATGGGCTTAAACTTAAATCACATGCCCTACTCCTGGGCCAGGGCGAGTCATCCTGGTAGAAGGAAGAAGGGATGGTGGAATTGTCAAAAGGAGGAGGATTAGATTCTGGATAGCCATAAAGGAACAGATGTCTGGCACAGTATCCCCGACTTCCAGGGCCAATCCAAGAAAATTCTTTAACTGTTTTCTCCTGAGAGGCAGCTCAGCAGGCACATATGATTCCCTACAATGCATTTCCAACTAGCCACAATAAAAGGGGAAGGATTGAGACAGGAATACGCCTGAAAAGGTAACAGAATTGAGGGGGGAGATCTCCTGAGGAAGGAAGAATGAGAGTGTAGAGTGGGGACTGTGTTATGCACTCTACACATCATCGTTCCCCTGGCAGAGCAGCCCACCCACACAGGAACTGGATCCCAAGTGCTGCTGATGTTCTCTTTTCGATGGATACTCACCAGGCGGATGCTTCCTTCCTTGTTTGCTCTGGGCCTCTTCTCTCCGGCCACTCTATTGACACACACATAGATCCTCTTCTGATGCTCCATGGAAACCAGGGATGGAATGAATCAAAAGTGGTCAGAGGAACCATTGTTCTCCCTTGTAAAATAACTGAACCCTTGTTAATCTGCTGCCAGCCTTACATTTCTCCCAGAGAGATCTCCACTGGATGGAGGCTGTAAACAGGAAATTTGAAACCCTCAGTCATCCTTTGTGTTACTTATTGTTTGCAGGCAGCTGCAGGGTATTTGCCACCACAGAGCTTGTGTCCGGGGTTGAATCCCAGTAGGGAGATGAGCAGCATAGTTTCTAAGACACAACACAAGGAGGAGAAAATACACTTCTTCAAAAGGAAAGCAGAAATAAGGCTCAGAGGTTAGCTAAGATGCATTTTTCAATGGGTGACAGATTTGCAAGGATAGTAAAATAACTCTTAGTTTTACTTTGTGTACAATCGGCATGCCCACACACTGTGGCTATAGGAAAATGTGAGAATTTTTTAATTTCCTGTAGTTTGGCTAAAGATGGACGATTACTATGGACGATACTGAAGCTTTGGGGTAACAGAAGTAAATTGCAAAGTAAGGTATACTTCAGAAATACCAGCAGATGCAGCTGACGTCCAGGCTCAAGAAATCCTTGCTAGAAAGATGGTACCATGTGGAGGATGAGTGCTAGGACCCAGACTGTATGAATGTGACTCCCAACTCTGACACTCACCAGCTGTGGGGCTTTTTCTGCTTATTTCATCATCTATAACGTGGGTATAATAATAGTATGTACCTCACTGGGTTACTGTGAACATTATATAAGTTACTATGAATAAAGTGCTTAGAACAATGACTAATGCATAGTAAGAGCTTGTATGTGTTAGCTATCCTTATTTTTACTAAAGAATTCTTCCCCAGGTAGGTAACTGGATTTGTTTGTTGAGTGAACATAGATGAATGGATAAAATCAACCTTAGCATTCACTGCACATAGAATGCCAACCTCTCAGTCCCATTTTTCCCAAGTTCATTTTCTCAGCTATGACTGGTGGTGTGCAGTGAGGCTCAGACCTCCTGGTTGTTTCTTTCTTTCTTTGAGACCAGGTTTTGCTCTTGTTGCCCAGGCTGGAGTGCAATGGCACGATCTCAGCTTACCACAATCTCCGCCTCCCAGGTTCAAGCGATTCTCCTGCCTCAGCCTCCCAAGGGGCTTGGATTACAGGCACAGGCCACCATGCACAGCTAATTTTGTATTTTTAGTAGAAATGAGGTTTCTCCATGTTGGTCAGGCTGGTCTCGAACTCCTGACCTCAGGTGATCCACCCACCTTGGCCTCCCAAAGTGCTGGGATTGCAGGCGTGAGCCACTGAGCCTGGCCCCTGGTTGTTTCTAAAGCCTTCTTGCGTCTCCACTCTGCAACTCTCCTGGAAGCCAGCCATGCCCCTGCCAACCCCTCACATGTCTAAAAAACAAAGTGTAGTCTAAAATCCATTCAGGGAAAAAGTTTTCTTTAAATAAAAATAAAACAAAGCAATATTATCTGTGAAACAAGCACTTAACTAAATGGAACATTCTTCACTGTATGGAAGGACTTTGAAATGAATCAAATACATTGCTGAGTACATTCGATGAAAATCTACATGCTGTCTTGGGCAATCTTCCAGGGTGTTTGATTCTGTGGAATTGCTGCACCTTTCACTGCCTTGAGCAATTTTACAATTTTGTAAGTTGCACCTGATTGCAATACAAGTGATTATTTTCCATGGACATGTGTATGAGTTTTCTGTTGCTGTTTTAAAAAGCTACCACAAACTAAGCTACTTGATATAACATATACATATTACCTTGTATTTTCTGTGGCTCAGGAGTCCAGGCACAGGTTAACTGGGTCTTCTGCCCAGGATATCAGCAGGTTGAAATAATGGTGTGGTCCCAGGCTTAGGTTCCTCTCCTAAGTGTGTTTTGTTGGCAGAATTCATCTTGTGGTTGAAGGAGTGAGGTCCCTGATATTTAACTGGCTGTCAGCATGGGCTGTGCTCTGCTTCTAGATGCCACTGCCATTCCCTACCACGTGGCCTTTACAGCTTGGCAGTTTGCCTCTCAAAGATCAGCGGAATCTTTCCTACTTTAAATCTCTTCATTTAAGGGTTTGCTTGATTTAGGTCATACCTACTTGGGATAATCTCCCTTTTGATTAATTTGTCTCAAACGTTTAATTACACCTGCAAATTCCCTTCACCTTTGTGAAGGTTACTGATGTAACCTAATCATGAGAATGAAATCCATCATACTCACAGTCCTGTCCATACTCAAGAAGAAATTCTACAGGGGGTCAGCTGTGGTGGCTCACGCCTATAATCCCAGCACTTTGGGAGGTCGAGGCGAGTAGATCACTTGAGGTCAGGAGTTCAAGACCAGCCTGGCCAACATGCTGAAACCCCATCTCTACTAAAAATAAAAAAAAAATTAGCTGGGCGTGATGGTGCACACCTGTAGTCCCAGCTACTTGTGAGGCTGAGGCAGGATAATTGTTTGAACCCAGCAAGCGGAGGTTGCAGTGAGCCAAGATCTCACCACTGTACTCTAGCCTAGGCCACAGAGCAAGACTCCATCTCAAAAAAAGAGAAAGAAATTTTGCAGTCTCAAAAAAAAAAAAAAAAAAAAGCAGGGCATGTACACTAAGAGCTAGGAATCTTAGAATTGTGGCCACCACAATATGCAATGAATTTTGACCATTGTCCCTATTATTCCCCCTCAAGCCAGTTTTTGCATCTCTTAAGCAAATTTGTCAGCATTCTTGTTTGTTTTTTTTGTTTGGGTGTTTTTTTGTTTGTTTTGTTTGAAACAAGGTCTTACTCTGTTACCCAGGCCAGAGTGCAGTGGTGTGATCATAGCTGCAGCTGCTCACTGCAACTTCGAACTCCTGGGCTCAAAAGGTCCTCCCTCCTCAGCCTCAGCTAGGAATTACAGGCACCAACCACCAAGCCCAACTAATTTTTAAATTTTTGGTAGAGATGGAGTCTTACTATGTTGCCCAGGCTATTCTCAAACTCCTGAACTCAAGCAGTCCTCCTCCCTGGGCCTCTTGAAGTGTTGGGATTACAGGTGTGAGCTACCACACTCAGCTGTTGGCACTCTCGATTGCCCATAGGTATATCTACTCTTTGATTGCCTTTGAACCTGTTATAACATATTACTGTTTTCCTCATTAATTAATGAGTTAAATAAAATATTTGACATCCAGTCATTTTCTGTTTGTATGAGTCATGGTTTTACTTTTAAAAATATCCTATTTTAACATCAACTTTTATATTAATATTTATTGCACAAGTTTTCTTAAAAATGATTGATATGTTACTTACTTTCACATGTGCAACTAAAGGGCTCTTTCCCTTTTCTAGAACTTCTAGCTCTTGAGACCTAATATTATTTACTGCTGGGAAAGTATAATGTTTCTGGCTTTTACTAGCCTCATCTTAAGCGGCTTAATCCCGGCACCTAGTAATAGAACTACCACTGCCTTAGCGTTAGAGAAGAGCAAACAACAACCCCACCTCACCGCCCCGAGATTAATTTCTTTCCTTATGAACAAAAAATACCAAAGGGCCCTGCTGACATTTTCTTCTAGAATCTTGGGATTACAGGATTTTGCTACTGGAAAGGGCGGAGGATTTTTCTTCTCTCTATGCTCAAAATCACCATCAATGCCTTTGTGAAAACAGATGTCAATAAAATTAGATGTTATCTTCCTGTGCCTAGCGTGGTGCCTGGTGGGTGCATAGTAGGTCTTCAGGAGATGTTAGGCCTCTGCTTCCGTTCCAGCCATACTGTGAAGGGTGAAAAGAGAAGAGACATGAAGAGGCTTCTGGGTTTCCTGCCTGTATCCTGGCATCAAGCTTGTTGGCGGCAGGGCCAGCCTCTCACCAGTGAGCAAAGCACGTATGTAGCACACTCCTGATAGCTCTCATGAGCAAAGAAAAATCTTGCTCTTGCAAGAGAGGTGAATGAAAGATTAATGCCAGTTAAATAATATATAATAGTAAGATCATTATCCTGTCTTCTCCCAGTCAACAAACTTTGTAATGTGTAAACACTTATTGGGCATACAAAATCAAACTACATAAACTGTTGTAAAGTGGAAGGAATGATGCTGATTAGTCTGGCAGCGCACAAGAATTGTATTTCATTTCTCTCTTTCGAGTGAGGAGCCAGGCTGACATTCTGGACAATCATGGCAAAACAAATTTCCTGTCGAAGTTTAATAGGCAACCATTCAATCTTTACAACTGGTGCCCCCCCCATTACACACCCCCGTGCTAACTTTCTCACAAGCTTCCTCTCTTTCTACCTTTAAGAGCAAAGGCTGGAACATCATAGTTTTGTCTTCAAAGCCATCAGCAAATATTGATCATGTTTCATCAAGGTGTGTCCTGGAGAGACAGAAAACCCACATAACTGTCTTTTTCCATTTTTTCTTACTACGTGCTAAGAATGAAACAACAAACTAATATAGAAAAAGCCTTAAAGAGGGAACTTAAGATGGGGGTTGGGGGAGGTATGGTTTGCAGAGTAAAAGTAGAAAAGACATTAAGTGTGAGCAGTGCACATTTTTGAAATTGCTTCTGAATCCACTATTATAGGTTACATTGTCAGCAGGCTGTATTGATTATTCTTAGGTAATTTATTTGTAGAATTTCTGCTAATGGACACTTCAGGATCATCTTTTGCATTTAATGTATCTAATACCCATTGATCAGGTCATTGGCTTATTGGTTACCTACTTTGCTGCCAAATGATTCTCTATAATTGCTTTCTTCATTACCCATTTTTATTCCAGGAGCAGCTTCTATTGTGTCCCATTACACTAATGGAAATTATTGATATGGAAATTAGTAGACACCGAGCTTAAGAATTCTATGATACGCACTCACATTGCATTTCTTTAAGTTGTAGATGTTCTTGTGTAATTAGCAGTAAATATTGACATGGTGAAATTAGTGAATTTAATTCAAAGCAAGAGAACCAGAAGCATCTTTAGAAAGAAAACACCAAATATTTTGCATAGCTATGTATACTTTAGTAAAAATAAATACGGCAAGTTTGGTGTTTATGTTTAACATTGTTTAGCATCCTGAGTTAAAGACAAGAGTGTTTTTGATTCTTGTTGCTATAAGCATGCTCATTTTCTAGGTGGAAAAGTTAGCCTCAGGCTGGCTAAGATCTGTGTTGTGTTGTCCAATATGTTAGCCACTAGCTACATGTGGCTGTTGAGCACTTGAAATACAGCCAGTCTAAATTGAGATGTGTTATAATTATAAAAGGCACACCAAATGCTGAAGACTTAGCATGAGAAAAGGAATGTATAACATCTCATTAATTTTTTCATTGATTATAGGTTGAAATGATAATATTTTGAATAGTCAGTCATAAAATGTTATTGAAATTCATTTCACTCTCTTTCTTTTTCCCTATTTTAATGTGACTACTAGAAAAAACGAAATGATATTATGTTGTTCGCATGACATTTCCGTTGGACAGCACTGGTCTAACACAAGTCCTAAGTGGGTAGAGTCTAGCACTTCACTGTGCCATATGGTCGCAAGTAGTCTCATGTGATAATTATATTTAAATGTGAATTATTTAAAGATAATACTTCTAAAATTCAGTTCCTCAGTTGTGCTGGTCACATTTCAAGTGCTATTGCTCTATGTGGCTGGGAGCTACCAGACTGGACGACACAGATAGAGAAGCCTCATAGCATCCCAGAACGTTGCATTGAAAAGTGCTGGTTGAGGTCAGGAGTTAGAGACCAGCCTGGCCAACATGGTGAAACCCCATCTCTACAGAAAATATAAAACTTAGCTGGGTGTGGTGGCATGCACCTGGAATCCCAGCTACTCAGGAGGCTGAAGTAGAAGAATCACTTGCACCCAGGAGTTGGAGATTGTATTAAACCAAGCTCATACCACTGCACTCTAGCCTGGGAGACAGAGCAAGATTCTGTCTCAAATAAAAAAAAAAGAAAAGAAAAGGAAAGTGCTGATCCAGCATATCACTAAACAAGCATTAAAACTGAGAATTTCTAGGCTAGGTGCCGTGGCTCATGCCTGTAATCCCAGTACTTTGGGAGGCTAAGGGGGATGGATCTCCTGAGGTCAGGAGTTCAAGACCAGCCTGACCAATATAGTGAAACCTCATCTCTACTAAAAATACAAAAAATCAGCTGGGCGTGGTGGCAGGAACCTGTAATCCCAGCTACTTGGGAGGCTGAGACAGGAGAATCACTTGAACCCAGAAGGTAGAAGTTGCAGTGAGCAGAGATGGTGTCATTGCACTCCAGCCTGGACAATGAGAGCAAAACGTGGTCTCAAAAAAAAAACCAAAAAACCTGAGAACTCCTCTCTGCTCCAGCCATTGTCCATGGAGACTATAATGAAATGCCGTGAAAATAAATGTGTCATATTAAAGGTAAAACTGTGCAAATAGTGATAATGCATAGTTGGCAATGACAGTTATTAAATCAAGTATTCATCCTTGGAAAGTCTAATCTCTAAGCACTGCTTAGAATATTGCTTCAGAGATGATATTTATCCATTGGGGTGACCACTTAATTTTGAAGGACAGAAAAGATGCAAATTAGGCAGAAAAAAATTGGAGACAAGTATAGCATTTTAATAAGTTGTAGTGAACAAGAACTTCCATTTTGGCTCTAATCTCTTTGAAGGGGCTTGGAATTTAGACGACTGTGGTCCCCCAGCCAGACAACGCCAGTCTTCCTTCCTCTGTGCCCTGCTGCCTGGAGGTTAAAAGAGTAATTAGAACTGTGTGTTTGTTTAAGGGGACTGGGGGGTGGGGGGGGGAAGTCACAGATTTTAAAGTAAACACTTAAGGGGAAATTTCTATAAAGCCAAGAGTCAAAATTATTCCTAAACCTAAACCCTCAGAATCAGAAACCAAAATTAATGTCATCAGTTTCTCTTTGCTTTCGGCTGTGACCTTTTTGTCTCTCAGCGGCATAGAAGGCCCAGGTATCATCCGACAAATAAGAAAAGTAGATATAGGAGTAAAAAGAACTGGGGTCTCGTTTTCTTTCTTCAGCACACTCTCTTTTTCGTGGTGGGAATGGGAGTGTGTGCCCAAACACGTTTATTTAAATGTACATTCGATGCAACCACTCTGTAGTTTTGTTATGTTCATTCTGTGTGTCTAGAAGTGAAGATATCAGGGAAATTATCCCTTATTGAGTGCCTGCATGTTATTATTCTCTCCAGTGCTCAAAGGAGGAAACTAAGTCTTCCAATGATAACTTCCATTGTTCAACGTCAGCAGCCTGTTAGTAACTAAACCAGGGTTTAAACTCAGGACTTCCCTGAAGCCAGGCTCTGTTTTACACCAAAAAAGCTCTTCTGGGCACCGAGGCAGGCACCGTGGGTTCCCTGCTGCCAGAATTAATGTGGGTATAAATGAGTTAATACTGCGCACTGCTTCTGGGGCATGCGATGTAGCCCATGAGAATCTCCGCGGACTCTGAGTCTAGAGGCGAAGAATCTTTGTTTTGTCACTGATAAATGATCTGCCTGCCCTTAATCCTGATTCCATATTCCTCATTTGTAAAGCTGTTGGGGTATTTGCACTGAGCAGATCGCTCTCTCTGCCAGCTTAGCTTCACATGGCAGTTTGGGATTTTTTTTTCTTTAAGATTTTATAAAGCTGAGTGTAAAATGGGAATGTTTTCATAAACGCTTAAGCATCTTTAGTGAAGCTAATTTATAGAATTGAAATGTTCCTCTCCGGCAGTTTTAAACTCAAATTCCTCCGCGGTGGTGGGGGGTTGGGGCCAAGAAACAGGAAACTGCTCTGTTTCATTGTTCCCACTCAACAATAAAAAATTAAACCGCCTAAAAAGTGCAAGCTAGAGAGAATTTTTTCAGACATTCTCTCCTCTGAATTGGAGTGATGGTGATAAAGACACAAATGGGCTCCTTCTCCCTCCCCGGGTCTCCCCGCCCTCCCCCTAGCAGGGGGCCCGGCAGCCACACCTTGAATCTGTGGGGTGACTCAGCCCCTATGGCACAGTGCTAAGTACAACACCCAGCACCTTACTCAAGTCACCTTTGCCAGCGGCGTGCCTCCCGGTCCCTCCCTTGGGAGCGCGTCTTGGCAATGGCGTGACTGGATGGCGAAGAACCTGAATTGTGCAACCTTGCGATGTTGTGTAACCACCACCGCTGCACTTTTTTCACAGTCGGCTGGAGAGTGTACCGCACAGCCAGAGTCTGCAGCGAGGTTCCCGTGGTAAGATTTCTCTGGGAGCTACTTTCTGTTTCTATTTTACCTCCCATCCTTGTTTTAGCATCTGTTTTCGTTGCCGAAGATTAGATGGCATGAAGTCTGCTTTCCTCTCTCTTTTTATATGGAACCGGGTGGTGTATACATAAGTAGATACTTAATATATCAAAACTGGGGGCCTTTCTCCTCACTTCTGGTTTATGGCTTTAGGAGTTCAAAAGCCTCCTTTTGCCTCTCAGCCCTAACCAAACTCAAAAGAGACTCAATCTTCTCTCTGGATGTTCTGATTCAACTGGTTTTGTTGTCCTCGTTGTTGTTTTGAGATGGAGTCTTGCTCTGTCATCCAGGCTGGAGTGTAGTGGTGGATCTTGGCTCACTGCAAACTCCACGTCCTGGGTTCAAGCAATTTTCCTGCCTCGGCCTCCCGAATAGCTGGGACTACAGGTGCACACCACCACACCCAGCTAATTCTTTGTATTTTTTTAGTAGAGACGGGGTTTCACCATGTTGGCAAGGATGGTCTCGATTTCTTGACCCTATGATCTACCCACCTCAGCCTCTCAAAGTTCTGGGATTACAGGCAGGAGCTACTGTGCCTTTTTTTTTTAACCGTGCATAGTTGACACCATCCTAGCCTTCAGTTTAAGAGATTGTGGACTGTGTAATAATATAAGTAATATAACAGTTAACATTTAATAAGTGCTTATGCTGTACCCACTGCCATATAATAAATACCTCATCACATTTAATTCTCACAATCCTGAGATAAGTGTTATAATCATCTTCCCATTTTACTGGTGAAACAACTGAGGCTCAGAAAGATTCTGTAATTTATCCAAGGCCACACTGCTTATAAATGGCATGACAAGGCAAGCACCCTGGTCCGTGTTATGCGTATCTCACGTGTCTCACAGAGCTGAAGCTCAGCTTTCCAGATTGCCCATAGTGGAAAGGAAAGACATTCCTCAGGCTAGCCTCTAGGCTAACAGGATTTATCTCATTACATTAAATAGCTGTGTATTTGAAAATCATTCTGTTAGTCCAGGATAAGGTAGGCTACACTGCAGCAATCAACCCAAAGTATTAGTGGCTTAGCATAGCAAAGGTTTACTGTGGACTCATGCAAAATCTAATGTGAAAGGCCAGGCTGGATGGAAGGGCAAGTGCTGATGGTTCAGCCAGTGGTCCCAGCTGAGTCCAGCCTCAGAGTCATCCTGTCCCAGATCCCAGGCATATGAAGGAAGAAGCCTCCAGGCAATTTCCTTTCTTTTCTTTTCTTTTTTTTTTTTGAGACAGAGTTTTGTTCTTGTTGCCCACGCTGGAATGCAGTGGCACGATCTCAGCTCACTGCAACCTCTGCCTCCCAGGTTCAAGTGATTCTTCTGCCTCAGCCTCCTGAGTAGCTGGGATTACAGGCACCTGCCACCACGCCCGGCTAATTTTTTGTAATTTTACTACAGAGTGGGGTTTCACCACGTTGGCCAGGCTGGTCTTGAACTCCTGACCTCAGGAGATCCATCCCCCTTGGCCTCCCAAAGTGTTGGGATTTCAGGTGTGAGCCACCACGCCCAGGCTTTCCAGGCTATTTCTGCTGCTAACATTTCAAGTCACCTTCAGCTGTTCACGTTGTTATGGGCTGTTTGTGTACCCTCAAAATGCATATGTCAAAGCCCTAATCCCCAAAAAATGATATTTGGAGATGGAACCTTTGAGAGACGATTAGGGTTAGAAGAGGCCATGACAGCGGGTAGAGTGGACCTGGTCTGATAAAATCGGTGTCTTACTGAGAAGAGACAGCAGAGAACTCCTTCTCTCTCAACTCTATGAGGACAGAGTAAGAAGGGGCCCCCTGTAAGCCAGAAAGACAGCCTTCCCCAGAAATCGAATGGGCTACCACCTTGATCACGAACTTCCCAGCAGCCAGAACAGTGAGAAAATAAATTTCTGTTGTTTAAGCCACTCATTTTATGACAGCCATAGTTAGGGCAGCCAGGCCAGGCATGGTGGCTCACACCTGTAATCTCAGCACTTTGGGAGCCTGAGGTGAGAGGATCATTTCAACCCAGGATTTCAAGGCAGCCTGGGCATCAGAGTGGGGCACCCACATATACAGAAAGTAATGATAATAATTAGCCGGGTGTTGCGGCGCGCACCTGTAGTCCCATCTACTTGGGAGGCTGAGGTGGGGGGATCACTGGGAGTATCACTTGAGGCCAGGAGATCAAGGCTGCAGTGAGCCGCTCACTAGAGTGCCACTCACTATATGACAGTGCCACTCACTATACTCTAACCTGGGTGACAGTGAGACTCTGTCTTAAATAAAATACATGAATCAATAAATCAATGAAAATATAGTTATGGCAGCAAGTGCAGAGTAATACACACATTTTTCCCAGCTGAGGCTCCAGATAGCATGGAATTAGATAAGACATCCCACTTTGTCCTGTCTGACCTCCTGGCCCACAGAATGCATGAGCCTATTACAATGGTTGCTGTTTTGAGGACGGTTATTTATGAAACCACAGATAACCTATACACACACAATAGATTTGCACACACCACAGGGCATAACTTTCATTCACTCAACAAATATTTACTGAACGCATACTAGGAGCCAAACACTATCAGTGAACAAAACAGATAAAGACCTGTCCTCGTACTGCTTGTATTGTATAGGGATAAAAACTGCTGTTTTTAAAAATAATCATTTTAAGTATATTTTTCTAGTTACAAAAGTAACACTTGCTTATTCAATACATTGAGAAATCATGAAAAGGTACAAAAAAACACAAAAAACATTATGCCGAAATAATGCATGATGCTATTATTATTTTATTATCTGACAATCACACACGTATATAGATGAACAAACACATTCTTAAAACTAGAATCACACTTTCTATTCAGTTTTATATCCTGCTTTTTTTTTTAAGATGGGGTTTCACCATGATGGCCAGGCTGGTCTTGAACTCCTGACCTCAGGTGATCCACCCACCTCGGCCTCCCAAAGTGCTAGGATTACAGGCATGAGCCACTGCGCCTGGCCATATCCTGATTTTATTTCACTTAGTTACTGCAGACTTTTTCTCCTGTCATTGAAATACAATTTTTAATGGTTGCATATTGTTCCAGCATGTAGCAATACCAATTATTTAAACATCCTGCAACTATTTTACATTTCAGTTGATTCCAATTTTTCACTGTGATAAGCAACGTCTTGAAGAACAACTTTGTACTTGAATCTTCGGCTGCATCTCTGATTAGTTCCTTAGAATATAATCAGAGAAGTGGGATTACTGGTTCAAAGGATATGCAAATGTTCAGTCTCTTGATAAATATTGTCAGATTACTTTCCAAAATGTTAGCGCCAATTTACATTCTCACCTGTATTTTATAAGATGTCTCTCTGGTATTCTTGCCAATATTCAGTATTAGAGTGTTCGTAATCTTTGCCAATTTGTTGCATTAAAGAATGGTATTTCATTTCAAGACTGGTTGACTGCCTAGGTCGCTCAATAATTATTGGGATTTGCCTAAATCCGAGTATTTAAATCCTAGCTCTGGCACCCTCTAACAAAATACGTAACCTCTCTAAGCCTTAGGGTTTTTTTCCTACCAAATGGTGACATGTATTCTGACTTCTTAGGCTATCCGGTGGATTAAATATGTTCAAGTTTATAAAGGGTTTAACACCAAGCCTCTCAAAGGTTAGCTAACATCACAGGTGTCACAGTTTAGAAATTATCAATACATGAATAATTCCAGCCTTTTCCTTTTCCTGATGTGTGTTAAAGAAGATCCTGATTTTGCTTCATCATATTGCTCTCCCTCCTCTCTCCTTTGAAGGAGAAGCTTGCCATACTTCGGGGCTTTGGGAATTAGAACTAGGGGGAATGAGAGAGGAGAAGAACAGGGAGACACACTGACCATTGAGAGACCATCCAAAACCCAACGGCTAACAAAAAATGTTTATTCTCTTGCACATGGGTCTGTGGTTGACTGCAGTTAGACTGCCTGTGGCTGGGCTGGGCTCAGCTGGGTGGTTCTGCATCAAGCTGTGGATCTGACTGGACTGGATCCAAGTTGTGAATGGGTTCACGTCTGCCCCATGTCTGCATGGTTTTGGACACATATGGATACAGCAGAAAATACCCAGGGCATATCCTCATGGTAGATTACCAAAGCATAAGAGGTCAGGCCAAAACCCACAAACAAATTTAAGACCTCTGCAATGTTAGATCTGCTAATACTCCTTTGGCCAAAGAAAGTCACATGGCTTAGCCCAACAGCAATGGGCTGGAAAGTCTCCTCTTCCCACAGTGGGAAGGGGAAAGGAAGTGAATATTTGCTGAACGAAAGATTGTAATAAATGTTTCCAGAAATTTGCAAGAAGAGTTTACATACGTTGGGTATGTGTAAGATTTCACAAATCAGGTTCCTCTTAATTTCTGGAAGACTCCAATTAAGAATGCCATGTAAGTTATTTTTTGCCTGTTTAGACTGGAATTTATTAAATTCGATCTCCCCTCAGGACTGATCTTATGGGGTAATGGCTTTGATAGGGTTATGTAATGGAAACCATGTAAACCATACTATCTTTTCTATTGCCACAACCCTACACAGCTCTTCCTCTTTGGGTATTTTAGATCTTTCAAACATATCCTAATGGTTCTCTCTTTTTTTTCCTTCCCTTAGAAGAAAAAGTACGGTCAGCAGCTTCCTGATTGTGATTTACCAAGAAGCGGCACAGTCTCTGCAGGAAATATGTCAGCTGCCCCATTGTCCTCTTATTTAAAGTAGGACAGACACCAAGCTTGAGAATACTTGAATAGGAGGACTCAGAAGCAGAAAATGAGAGCAACCAAGTCAGTCTCAATCATGACTCACAAGCTCCAACTTCACTTATGGAGTCATCCAGTGAAATCAAACTGATAGTGAGTACAGGGAGCAGCAGTGATCAGAGGAAGCCAAAAGAGCTCTGATGAGAGGAACCATGTCATTTTCTCAGCCTTTATTGTTGGTGTCTCCCTGAAGACCATTTACTTGGAACTTAGACAGGAGACTAAAGTCTGTGATCTCTGGGTTTGCTTAACTCTGTAGACAGCTGGTATATCACATACAAAATATTACCCCACACTCTCATAGTGTGATGAGTTGTTAATAAAACCATTCCAAATTTTTGGTTCTCATTCACTCTAAATGTAGATAGTACTGGCTGAACATGGATATATCAGCTCTGCTTATCACTCTAAATGTCATCTGTCTTTAACTTTATCCAAAACAGTTTTATTTTGCTTCAGAGAAAGCAATGCTCTCAATTTCCTGAAAATCCAAGCCAAGAAGAATCACAGTATGAAGAATTATGCTAAATATTTGGTCCTCAGCCTTCCTGGAGCTGTGGCATGAAGCATCAGTGGCCTCAATATGTGTTGGGTTTTCCTTGGAATAATGGATAACACATGTGCTTTCAAAATTTTATGTATAGTTGAGAGTTTTGGGATAGGGAACTGTCCATAATTCTGTCTCCTCAAGACATTACAAGATGTTTTCCTGTCTTTCTGTATTTCCACAAAGAGGACGTGTGAATGTATAAAAATTCCCTAATATCGTTTCTGCCTCACTCTCACCCCATCCCCAAATAGTTGTTTTATTTGGTCTGCTTTCTTTCTTAAGTTTCAGTGTAGGCGATATTTTAACATGGTTTTTCTTTTTTTTTGAGACAGAGTTTCACTCTTGTTACCCAGGCTGGAGTGCAATGGCTTGATCTCAGCTCACCGCAACCTCCGCCTCTTGGGTTCAGGCAATTCTCCTGCCTCAGCCTCCTGAGTAGCTGGGATTACAGGCACGCGCCACCATGCCCAGCTAATTTTTTGTATTTTTAGTAGAGACGGAGTTTCACCATGTTGACCAGATGGTCTCGATCTCTTAACATGGTTTAAAGCTTAGATTAAGATTAAGAATTTGGACAACACAGTTTGAATTGTCAGCTATTTACTAATTGCAACTTTTAATAAGGTGTAGATTCTTCCTCTGAAAACGAGAAAAATAATTCGTGCTACCTTGGCTTCCCAAAGTGCTGGGGTTACAGTTATAATGGATAGCAGAGTAGGGTTGAAGCAGGAGGTGGGACTCAACTCCAGAGGCGGGTCTCAGACACGAGACCATATTGAGGACTAGCTAACACAGGGCTGGGGTGGGAGCAGCTTTCCAATCAGACACACCCACCAGTGTGCCAGGTCAGTTTACCATCACCATGGAAACACCGGGAGTTATTGCCCCTTTCTGTGGCAATGACCCAATGACCCGAAAGCTACTACCCCTTCCCTAGTAATTTCTGCATAAATTGCTCTTGAATCTGCATGTTATTAAAAATAGATATAAATGTGACTGCAGAACTGCCCTGAGCTGCTACTCTGCGTACAGAGAAGCTCTGTTCTGCAGGAGCAGTCACACCACCGGTGCTATAACACTGCTGCATCGATAAAGCTCTTTTCTTCTACCCCTGGCTTGTCCTTGAATTTTTTCCTGGGCAAAACCAAGAATCCTCAAGAGCTAAGCCCCACTTTGGGGCTCATCTCCCTGCATCAGGGTGACTGTAGTTAACAACAGTGTATTATATATTTCAAGGTAGCTAGAAGAGAGGACTTGAACTGTTCCCAGTACACAGAAATGATAGATACTCAAGGTGATACATGCCCCAATAACTCTGACTTCATCATTATACATTCCATGCACGTAACAAAATATCACGTGTCCCATACATATGTATCAATGTAAAAAAGTAGCATGCATGCCCCTCCCCAAAGAATTGAGCAAATGAATAAGTGAATGAATGGTAGTTATTTGCTATTTTCTAGTAGTTGTAATCAAAAATGATATTCAAAAGATGTGCCATCAACTGGTTGCATGAGGCTTTAATCCAGAGGCAGTTGGGGTGATATGGGATGCACCAGGGGGATCAGCCCCCAACTGGTGCAGAGGTGTTTTATTACTCGACAGTTGGTTGTCTGTGTTGGTGTGCTGTCTGAATGTCAGCCCTGCCTGTCAACACTGGCATCATGTCCTCCACACTCTTCCCCAATCCCTTTTTGACCCCAAACACCAACATTGGCAGGATGACTGAGTGGGATGAAGGTCGACCGTAGAACTTTTTTCCTACTCAGTGCAAAGCCAACTGGCCCATACCAGTATCAACCTCAACTTTGGTTCCTTTGGCCCTGCACTGTGAGATTTGAGCCACTGGCCAACGCAACCAGCTTCTAGTATTACCACGAACTGATCTTTTTCTACCTTGGAAATTTTCATTGTAACCACTCCACATTTTTGCTATAATCAGGCTTATGATTATAAGGCAGGGACTTGCACATTGCAGGGTGGGTTGGCACACTTCTTCAGATGGACTGGCAAGGGCACATGTCCTCCTTCCAATTCTCTCTTAAACTGAATCACTCCTCTGGCTTGGCCAGGAGAATACCAGCTTTGCCAAGCTGACTTTATTATGTGTATCCTGGTGCACATTCCCTTTTGTGTATGTAGCTCTGTTTCCTGGCATTATTATTTTTGGTAGGATTGGGGTCGATCTCTGGCGATGTGTTATTTTTCCAGCTGAAGTGTTTTATTCCTGCACTTTGACATTCCATGAAGCTTTGTGAAAACACTCGCCCTGCTCTCGGGAGGTTGTTTGTAGAGGGTAATGTTGCCCCGAACTTTTTCTTCCAGGTCATGGTGCAATCCACAGGACTGAGACGAGTTGCCATTCTGATTCTCCGTTCACTGAAGGACTTGGGGCTTAAAACTTGATTTCTCTGAGCCTTTGTTATCACAACTGTAAAGTGGTGATAAGGAGAGAATAAAAGAGATAATGTGAATTGAAGTACAAAGCAATCTCAGGTAGTCATTCATTACCATGCATCAGCCATAGTTCCTGGCTGTAGGGAGCTATGGATTGATGCGGGAAATAACACATTCATAGTCAATTAAGATACAGACTCAGAAGTCCTGCAAACAGGGATAAATGCAAGGTGTTATAAAAGCACATGGGAAGAGGGCTAAACTCAGTCTTGAGGGCTTGTTAGAAAAAGCATAGAGCTTCATGGAATGTCATGGAATGTCAAAGTGCAGGAATAAAACATTTCAGCTGGAAAAAAGCTCGCATCCTCTCCTTGGCATTTGACTTCAGGTAGAACCCAGGAGTTTACCACCACAGTTCAGACCTGGCGAAGGACTGAGTTTTTCTAGGTGGAAAAAAAAAAATACAGTTACCAAAGTGATTTACACATTGCAGAACATTTCAATTTACAGATTAAAAAAAGAAAAAAAAAGCATAGAAAGAGTAGGAATTATTAATAGTAATGATAATTAAAATTATTGGGGTGATTACAATTCACAATTGAAAAAATATGGAACCAGTCCAAATGCCCATCAATCAATGACTAGATAAAGAAATTGTGGTATGTGTATACCACGGAATACTGCTCAGCCATAAAAAGGAAAGAAATAATGGCATTCACAGCAACCTGGTGAAACATGCCCCAGTAACCCTGGAATGAGAATGATACATTCCCCAATAACCCTGGAATAACCCTGGATGGAATTGAGACCATTATTCTAAATGAGGTAACTCAGGAATGGAAAACCAAACATTGTATGTTCTCACTCATAAGTGGGAGCTAAGCTATGAGAATGCAAAGTCATAAGAATGATACAAAGAACTTAGGGGATTCAGGGGAAAGGGTGGGAGGGGGTGAAGAATAAAAGACTACAAATTGGGAACAGTGTATCCTGCCCAGGTGATGGGTTCACCAACATTTCAGAAATTACCGCTAAACTTATTAATGTAGCCAAATGTCACCTGTTCCCCCCAAAAGTGTGGAAATAGAAAACAAAATAGTGGGATGATTACTGCGTGCCAAGTGGTATGCTAAGCATGACCTCATTTAGTGCGCACAAAGTGTGCCGATCTCATAGGGGTTTTAACTGTCATTTTATAATCAGAGAAACTGGTCCAGAAAGCTTCAGTAAGTTGCCCAAGGGCACACAACTAGGTGGCATGGTCAGATCTGAATTTAAGTCGGATTTCAGAACCCTTGTTTTTAACCACTACGCAAATCTGTTCATGCCATGCCCCTGCTTAAAACTGACCATTTGTGGCCAGGCGCGGTGGCTTACCCCTGTAATCCCAGCATTTTAGGAAGCCGAGGTGGGTGAATCACCAGAGGACAGGAGTTTGAGACCAGCCTGGCCAAGATGGTGAAATCACATCTTTACTAAAAATACAAAAACTAGCTGGGCATGGTGGCACACACCTGTAATCCCAGTTCTTGGGAGGCTGGGGCAGGAGAATCACTTGAACCTAGGAGGTGGAGGTTGCAGTGAGCTGAGATCACGCCATTGCACTCCAGCCTGGACAACAAGAGTAAAATCTCTGTTTCAAAACAACAACAGAAAAAAATCCCTGAGAATTTGTGACTTCCCATTGCTCACAAGATAATGACTACACTTCTTTACAACCCTAAAAGTTTCCTGCCCAACTCTCTGTTGTTACTCTTCATCCTTTTCTCTGCCCCCCACCCCATGGTCATCAGCCTCAGCAGCAGATCATAAAGGATATACTCGGCTAAGGAGTCTGAGCTTGTCCTATCAGCAACAGGGAGCAATGGAGCTTTTAAGCAAATTGAAAAGGAACAAGACAAGACCTGAAAAGGCCAGTAAGGAGGCGGTTGAAGTAACCCAAGCACAGATACATGGAGGTGTGAACTAAGGGATGGAAAGAGGAGAGAGAGGGAGAGGGGTGACTTAAATTTAAAGGCATTAAACACATGGAATCTACAAATCTTGGTGACTGATGAAGCAGGGGAGTCAAGCAAAATGAGGACTCCAAGCTTCTACCCACATTTCTAGCTTGGACAACAAAAGGGCACTAGCCATGCAATGGGGCGATCTCGGCTCACTGCAACCTCTGCCTCCTGGGTTCAGGCAATTCTCCTGCCTCAGCCTCCTGAGTAGCTGGGATTACAGGCATGCGCCACCATGCCCAGCTAATTTTTTGTGTTTTTAGTAGAAACGGGGTTTCACCATGTTGACCAGGATGGTCTTGATCTCTTGACCTCGTGATCCACCCGCCTTGGCCTCCCAAAGTGCTGGGATTACAGGCGTGAGCCACCGCGCCCAGCCAAGGGC